TACCTGCCCCTTTAAAAGCCCGTGCTGTCTGTCTCTCTGGCTCCTCCGACTCCAGTTCCAAGGCGAAACATGCAGCATTTGTACGCGATCTACTGGCAGACAAACTTTCGCTTATCTTCCTGTCACCGGAGAAGGCGCTGGGAGTGGGAATGCAGGCGCTCCTTGCGATGCCCCGGGTTCGAGCTCGTCTGGCGCTTGTCTGCGTCGATGAAGCGCATTGCGTGTCCGAGTGGTCCCATCATTTTCGTCCAAGTTATCTGCGATTAGCAGAGGTTTTCCGTCATGCCCAGTGCGTTCTGTGCGTGACTGCAACAGCTTCTAGACGCGTTGTTCATGATGTTCTACACCAGTTACGTTCACGTCGTCAATTCGAAGTCCAAAGCAACAGGATTTGTGAAAACGAAGACGAAATGGTGCTCCAGATGCCATGGCAACGCAGAAACTTGGCGCTGGAGGTTCGATCTGTGTGCTCGAACGAGGAGAGACTACGCCATCTCGTCCATATTCTCCCTGAACTCAGCAAAGGCTCCAAAGGCGGTGGCGGTGTCATCGTATACGTTCATCAACAACGACAAACCGAGGAATTGGCAGCTCTGCTTCGCGAACAGCTCCCGTCTACGTGGCGTAGTACCGGCAAAGTATTGGCGTTCCATGCTGGTATGGCGTCTGAAGCCAAGGAAAAAGTTCGCACTGGCTTCGCAAGAGGAAGAGTGCGTGTAGTGGTGGCTACTGTGGCGTTTGGCATGGGTATCGACAAGAAGAATGTGCGTGCAGTCGTGCATTTCCACATGCCCTCGTCAGTGGAGGCGTACGTGCAGCAGGTTGGTCGAGCTGGTCGTGACGGGAAAGCGGCACGTGCACTGCTGTATCTGCTGGATGAAGACGCAGTTCACTTCCGCTCGCTGCTCTTCTCAACGGCGCTGCATCGAGATCAACTTCGACGTCTCTTGTCTCTTGTTTTTCAAGAGCAGAAGAATGACAAGCATGTTGTGGCTGTCAAGTACTCGAGTCAACGAGCTGGTGGGGACCTCACGCTTGTGTCGCTGGAGCGAGATTGGCTCGAACGTCATCTCGACTTGAAGGCAGCTACAGTCGAGACGTTCCTCACGTTGCTGGCACTGGAGTCACGAGCTGACAAGGACGACAAGACGGGTTTTCGTGTAGCTCTGCAACCTCTGAGTATGAGTCGATGTACTGTGCAGCTACTTGATACGCAGGCGAAGAAATTGGCGCCTAGTTCCTGTGTAAAGATGTTGCTGGATGCTGTGCGACGCATGGAGCTGCCCAGTGCTCGAGTTACTCATCGCAAGGACGGGTATCTGAGCTCTTGGACCGTCGATTTCCACTTGCACGAGACAGCTCACTGGTACGCACGTAGCAGCGGTAAATGTGAGGGATCTGTGGCGTCATTAGTGACTTCAGATGCGCAGCAGGAAGGAGAGACGAACGCTGTCGCTGTAGCTGCAGCAACAAATGAAAGACGGATGTTACAAAAGCTGCGAGCGGCGCAACAGACTGGCCAGATCCAGCGCTTGTCGATGTCGCAGCCATCCTTCCAGCTGCAGTTGAGCTGGCGAGTTGACGTGATTGACGAGATGAAGACTGAGGCGGTAGATCGGTGGACTACCAGTCTGTACGCGAAGCACGAACATCTCGAGTCACGGCAACTGGCTCGTCTTGCTCATTTGTATGGCGCTCTGCATGCCGCCGCGTTACCAGCTCCATCTCCATCAAGAAGTGACGACGAGGATGAAGAAGATCTTGACGAGAAAGCGCGTGCTCTGGAGACGAAACTTGTCCACTATTTCGAAGACGATATAAACGAAGAAAAGGAGGACGACGAGCATTTACTACACAGTATGCTACGTCCGCTGACTGCGCCTCTGGTTGAGTCTATCGAGCGAGACACTCGAGCACTAATACAGCTTCGTCTTGGTGGAAATCCGATGGAGGAAACTGAGGCTGAAGAGGACAAAAGCAGAGAGGAGATCAAATGGACGAGCTATGCGGTAGCCAAGGTGTTTCATGGTCTAACGACGCCGCAGCTTCCGACACGGCAGTGGCGCGACCACGTTTGCTGGCGTCGCTACTCCGACGTGGCCTTCGAGCGCATCGTACGGATAGCGCAAGACGTTTTAGAAGGGCAAGATGCAGAGTGTAGGTCAACTTCAACGTCGTAAGAACTCGTAATTACGAATCGAAAGATCTTAGTCGCACTTAATCGAGAGTACCGGTGAAATATCGGTTTTTCCAAGCTCATGAGCGGGGTAGGGATCCAAAACGTGGTGATGGTGCGCTGTCAGTTCCGATTCCTCCCTAGAGCGTATTTGACCTGCATTTCGTAGCCATGTCCCTCGCCGCTGTGCCCACCGCCTCGCTGCTCTCGGAGCTGCAGAAGCGCATCGAATGCGCCAACAAGAAGGAGCGCCGCACCATCTTCATCGGTACGCATCGACAGCCTCCGTAAATTCCATTTGGCTGCGGAATCCGACGACGTTTATTGACTGACGCGCTGTCATTCTCGCGTTTGCAGGCCCCCCTGGCTGTGGCAAGGGCACGCAGTCGCCCCGTGTGAAGGATGAGTACTGCCTGTGCCACCTGGCCACCGGTGACATCCTGCGTGCCGCTGTGGCCGCCGGCACCGAGATGGGCAAGAAAGCCAAGGCTGCTATGGAGTCGGGTGCTCTCGTGACCGACGAGATCGTGGTCGGCATCATTAAGGACGCCATCAAGAGCCCCGACTGCCGCCGTGGTTTCATCCTTGACGGCTTCCCGCGCACGGTCGTGCAGGCCAAGAAGGTGTGTAAATTAACTGTAACAAAATGTGTGGACCGGAGGCTCACTCCGCTGTTTATGACAAATTTTGCAGCTCGACGAGATGCTCGCTGAGGAGAATGCTCAGGTGGACGCTGTCGTGAACTTCAACGTGCCGGACAAGGTGCTGGTGGAGCGTATCTCGGGCCGTCGCGTGCACCCTGCCAGTGGCCGCAGCTACCACGTCAAGTTCGCCCCGCCCAAGGTGGAGGGCAAGGACGACATCACTGGCGAGCCTCTGATCCAGCGCAAGGATGACAACGAGGCCACTCTGGGCTCTCGTCTTGAGGCTTTCCACAAGCAGACGCAGCCTGTGATCGATTTCTACCGCAAGCAGGGCAAGCTCACCGAGGTGAACGCCCACACGGAAATGGACAAGGTCACGGAGCAGATCCGCAAGAGCCTCGGCTCGGACTAGATTGCTGTTGTCACTAGAGCAGGCTCGGCTTTGCATATAGCTGCACATGCTTGTAAGCGCTAAGTCGCTGCAGGATATTGCGGCTTGAAACTCCAAGCGTCTTTTACCTACAGCTGCATGAATATCGAATACAAGATGTCTAGCACTTTGCTGTAACTCTGCTTCATTCATGTTGACGTCAAGTAGGTCAAGTTGTTAAACCATCCGATGCAAGCTTGCGTTTCCTAGAGCAGCTACGTCAGTACCGCCATAGAAACCGGTATATTTACCAGCGCAGTTTGGAAAACCGTTCCTGGCCAATCAACGCTCTGTTGTCACTAAACCGAAACCGATAGTGACATTCCATGCGTGTCAGCCTCTGATCTTGCTCTGCGTCATCGTATCATTCGCGATGGCCAAGAACGCGCTGCTTAACCTGTATCTGCTGGCCTTCAATGCTACCTCGTGCGCTGGCTGGGCCTACGTGCTGTATCTGACCGTGACAACGGTGCTCGAGGCGCATGGTGCCGGCCAGGACTGGAACCAGGTGGCTCAGAGCACGTGGCTCGTGGTGTCAATGCCCCTCAAGATAGTGCAGACTATGGCTGTGATGGAAATCGTACACGCTGCTGTGGGCTTCGTCCGCTCTCCGTTGGGCTCTACGCTCATGCAGGTGAGCTCGCGTCTGTGGCTGGTCTGGGCTATCAACGTGCTGTGTCCCGTGTCTCGCTACCAATTTGGCTTCCCGCTCATGGTGGCTAGCTGGGGCCTCGTGGAGGTACCGCGCTACTCCTTCTACGCTCTCAACCTGTACAATGCTGTGCCCGGTTTCCTATTCTTCCTGCGCTACCATCTTTTCATGGTGCTCTACCCGTCGGGTGTGCTCGGTACGTTTATCCTACCCATCCTAACTGCTGCTGAATTATTCGTTGGCTTTATCGTTCTTGCGAAGCTCACGTTGTTGATGCTGATCTTTAGGTGAGGTGCTGTGCATGGTGAGTTCATTGGGTTTTCTGTCCACTGGCGCGTACTCCATCCAGCAGCCGAACACGCACAACATCTCCATCTCGCTCTACGTGGTGGTCATCCTCGTGCTGCTCGTGTACATCCCCGGTCTGCCCGTCATGTACGGCCACATGCTCACACAGCGTAACCGTGCATACTCCAAGATCAAGGCGGCGTAGAACACGCAAGTGTCATAAGCATATCGCGATCGCTGTTTAGAATCTGGTAAAGACGTTGAAGCAGTGCAGATCAACAAGAAAATATTGCGCGCTTGTGCGTGTGCGCTAGTCTATTTGATATAGCTTCTTGTTGCTTCCCTCTGTGCTGCATTATGGACTAGTTTCGGTTCGCCTAGTGCTCGATTGCAAGGCCAGCTAGTTCCTCCCCTTAGATAACACTACCCGACGCAGTAAAGTTTACAGATATCCCACTCATTCCGTCACCTCCCTTCGAGCTAGAAAATGCTGGAATCCTCCAGGTCGGAATCTCTTGTTTCCTTCAACACCTTACGCGACACGAACATGAGCAATGCACCGATAGCTCCAACGACACCGACGATAACAACCACCAGCGTTTGATCGAACGACCTGTTATCTGTCACCAATGCAGCCGACTTGGTCCTGTTCTCGAGCGCGCTAGCGCTGTTGGTCTGGTACGATTGATCTTCCACCGTCTGCTCAGTAGAACCGGAGGATGACCAGCTCTTAGGCCTGGCGTCGAACGAACCAGGGTGCGGTGGCCCCTGAGCCGGCTTTGGTGTCGACACAGGGGTCGGAGCTGCTGTCGGTGCCGGTGTCGGTGTCGGTGCCGGTGTCGGTATCGGTATCGGTGCCGGAGTCGGTGCCGGTGTCGGTGCCGGAGTTGGTGCCGGAGTTGGTGCCGGAGTTGGTACCGGAGTTGATGCTGGAGTCGTCTCCTTGTTTGTGGTACCCTTTGCACTGGTAGTCTCATCGTTAGACTTGCTGTTCGCGCTGCTGTCATCACTTTCGTCCTTCTCGTAAGCGTCAAATGATCCGTCGTCGTCATCGTTATCACCCTGCTTGGCATCTCCTGCATCCGAGCTGCTCTTATCGCGATCCATGGCGCACGGAGTCTGCACCTCATGATCCATTGAGCCCGACTCCTCTTTTGATTGCTCCGTACTGCGCTCCATCGGAGCTGTGGTTGTCTTGACCAAACTGTCAAAGGAGACGGACTTTTCATCGAGCTGACTGGCGCTGTAGCTGCCCGACTTCCAGGCTCGGGTGGTCACCGTCGTGGTGCTCTGCTGCGAGTCTGTCGTGACGACTCCGACCTCCTGCTGGTTAATCAAGTTGGAAGTGGAGCCTGTCCCCAGACTACGCAGTGTACGGCCGTCGACAGCCGTCAGTAGCAGTGCAAGTGCCAGCACGAGCACCGCTAGTAGTGGCGACGACGAGCGTCGTCGCCATCGCGGCGCCAGGTACACGCACATCCACCGCCTTGTCCTCGGGTGGAGGAATTTTCTCGACTGCCAAGACCAGCGATTGCGAACAGGTCAGACCAGAACAGAGAAGAAGGGCAAAGCTCTTGGAGGCGCTCCTCACAATTCACGGTGCTTTTCCGGCCGACCTTTTCACGCTTTCCCGACTTTCCTGTCTCTCGCCGGAGCGTATTATATAGAATGGAGCGACTCGGACTCGAGCTTGGTGTAAACGGGAGCGGAGTGCACAAATGCCAACTGGTCCATCGTCTCGAACCGAGACCCGACAAGCATACACTCGCCACGTTTGACTGGCCATGTGGCCAAGCACGCGTGAACTAGAAACAGACACAGATGGCAGCGAGGAAACCTGCCGCGGTCATGTTCTCCTCCATAATGCTATATATGGTTAATATAGATCACTACGATTCGGTTGATTGTACACTTTCAAGATTAGTTTGACGCAATATTCAATATCCACGCTATTACCGATTTGATTAACTGAGAGCGGGACTTCTGGTGGAGTCCTACTTGGACTGAGACTTGTGCAGGTTCGAGATGTTCTCAACGAGGTCATACAGCTACCGTACCGTACCTATATGCGAGTACATGTAGCACACCTTGTTGTTGCTATTCAATGCAATGAACACCGTGCGCGAGCGCCGAAACGAGCACTTGCCCCGACCGTGATATCGAAAAGCAAAATTTCGAGATAGTGCGAAGGCATGGGCTAACGACAAAAAAAAGTTGTTGCAGGTTGCCAACACGGACGAAAATTGCTGGACGGATTGCAACTTTACTACATGCATGTAGTATTAGCGATGAACTTTTGTGATAATACGTGAAGCAGTGTGCAGTAGTCGCTGCATCTTGCCTTCTCCTTGGGCACTACATGAACACCACTCTCTTTTGGACGTAATATCGAAAAAAGCAAAACAGCTATGGGTATTTTGAGCATGTGTAGATTTTTTCTACTCCCTCCATTTCACATTTGTTGACATATATCGATGTCTGCTCTGTTTTAAATTACTTGCCTACGATAATGATTGGTTGAAATTAAGTGTTACTCAAACCCTCCAATCATGCCATTCCTTTTTCGTGTGCAACCAAATAAAATGATTTTTCGTGCTCGAGGAATTAGTGCAGGTAAAAGGCAGATTTAATGCGGCCAGGCTGAGGAAGTAATGCGGCAATATCACGACTAGCGTCATTCTACAATGACTACAAGCTAGCGTAAACCCGACAAAGACCTGACTCCCGAAACGAAGCTAAGCATTGCTACCTTTCTTCTTGAACATTCTACTAACCTAAATGTAGGACACAATTATATTCTTCAAGCTGCTGAGCAGTTTGACTGTAGTGATAGCTCAGTACCTCGATTTTGGAGAGCCACAGTTAAGCATCGAAGAAACGGTAACTGGCTGCCACCATTCAAAGCCAAGCGGCAGGGAAAATGCGATTGGAAGAAGTGCCTAACAGACATACCAGAAAAACTCATGGCTTTGCCGTAGTAAAAGCGACGGACTATGCGTTCTATCGCCAAGGCCATACAGCCCCCCCCCCCCCCCCACGCCTAACCTAAGCAGTACGGCATCTCGGTAAATTCGAGTATGTGCATTAATATGCCATTGCATCCACAAACTAATCATTTGTGCTACTACAAAGGTTAGAATTTTGCTTAGCGTTTTTGAACTTAGAGACCTAAGAATATTATCCTCTCAGTAATATGAGGCACAAATACCAAAATACGCAAGGACGCTGCCAAGAGGCTAAGGATTTACGCTGGGGCGCAACCCGTCGACATTTCCGCGAGTGTGCACACGCTTCGTGCGCATACAATCTCCCCAGATGAATCTGAGATCAATACCGTGACTGAAATCAGGTTGTGAAGCCAAGATAGCATAACCTTGCGCAAGCGTTGGCTATAGTGCGTGCGTACGTCACAACTCCGCAGATGCTGCGAGAAGCCTAAGCGAACTCACCTACTCCACTGTGTGCTCCGTTCGATTATCCAATATAGAGCGCCTGGTCGCGCTGGAGAAATACTGCGGTCAATTGAACGCGGGGCATTTGCCGCAAAGGTGACCGCACTTGGATATGCGAGCAGACGGGCCGACATTTATCGAGTCATGACTCGCTCGGCGACGTTGGAGGAGGGCATGGGAGCACAGATGCGGGTACTATGTCTCCTGCTGATAGATCCCGTGTTGTTGGCATAGCCAAGGAGGTGGCGTGGCAGGTTAGAGCTGCTAAATCACAAATGGCGATGTACACGGATTTCGTGGCCGATACGGCACGTAGAAAAACTGGCTGATGCGTAGCAGCCGCGGACACAAATCTTTGCAACTTTGTGCGCTAATCCTATCAAAATAGCAGCCTGTTTAAGTTACGTACCATGACCTTTTGGCCATGCGTTTTTTTGTGAAGTAGACGCACGTACAAAAGACGATTACAACTTTCGGAGAGCCGAACTGCATTTTCTTTCGCCAGCGTAAGCTGCATACGTTGACGACAAATGTATCGATATTTGGAAGTACAGATTTGTGCGGTGTTGGGCCAATCATGTCATTCACTTCGGAATACATCCCACTTTGCGATTGGAATGTTACCATGCAGCAATGAAAGGATAACTAGGGCCCCTCAAGAGATTTATTAACGATACATATTCGTATGGGATTGGTAAAGATAATTTATCGATAGACAATGGGCTCTAATTTCCAGTTCAGATGTCTACATTTCAGAACGTCTTCGCGGATGGTTCTTCGCATCCGTGGAAAGATTATTCATTGGTTTACCTTATTTCGTTGATTAGAAGCATGAGAATGATTGAATAGTGTGATCGTCTTCTTCTATCTACATACATGTACCCTCTGCCAGCTCGAGTAAACATCTCTGAACTCCCCCCAGCGGCAACCCAGGTATTGCAAAACCGAAGATCAGTTTGCTGCTCACTGCATTGGCAGATGAGACTACATACTAATTTAGTGGTTGGTTTCTAAAAATGTCTTGCAATCCATTTTTATGAATACATATATACCGTAAGGTCGGCTCCAGTGGGACAAACGGTTACAGCGCGACATTACCAAATGTAGGGTCGACACCCCCTTATTCTAGAGTATGATATAAATCTGTTGATTGAATCGCATGTCGACCTATATGAAGCAGTTTTGCCTTTTGAAAACCTTTTACAATGATTTTGCCTTGGTAATGTCCCATGCTTTCGCTACCAAGAAAGACAGGATCACACAGTGTTCTGCTGTGTCAGCTTGGAAACAATGCTCAGTATGATATTGCACGTAAAGGTTTCTAAAAATTTTACACAAAAAATATTATCAAAAATTAGTGAGCAAATAAAAATATAAAAAAACTTACTCGATCTTCTTCTTGAAGGTCCGCATTAAGCTGACATCCATTGGCTGACTTAGGGTAGTAACACCCGGTGGGATGTACTGAATCTGTGTCGTGCACTCGGTCTCGAGCATTTCGCGAATGCTTGCCATCTTGTGAGGTTTTAGACTGTCCAAAAGTAGCATGCGGCACCCGGTGACACTTGGACGCCAAATCTAATAATTTAAAAAAAGAAAACCCTTGCTTTGAAAAAAAAATTAAACCAATAATTGAGACAAATATACCTTTGAAATCCATCCCTTCATAATTGAATGGTCACACCAGGCTTTTTCTTTTCTTGCTCTGTGTGCTCCACCGACATGCAACCAAAGGACTGCTATTTAACTGACTAGCACCTCGGCACCCCGGTTTTCCCGCAAACACAATAAATGGCTTCAGCATTTCTCCTGTTGCAAAAAAGACAAAAAATACGCTGCATCGCCCTGTGTTTTCGGCTGCGCCATGAACGATGTCAATATTGCGTGTTTCATAGGAGTCCACTGTTAATTTTCCGTGGTGGTCAATGAAGACGGCCGTCTGGTCCATGTTGTAGAGACTTGAGTACTTATTCTCATAATTGGTGTGAAAAGACATGATCCCGACCACTTCTACTGCAAAGTTCACAGAATTCGCAAACGAATCCGCAACATTCTAAAAAAAGTTTAGAGCAAATAAAATAAAATAAAATAAAATAACTACCACTAATTAGGACCAACCTGCATATCGTTTCACATTTTTGATCCCTTGTGCGTAACGTGCCGAATCACAAGGCGATATCTCTTAAGAAATCGCGCAGTCCACGATCGAAGGGTAACATAGTTGCGAGACCGAGTAAAGGCTGGATCGATCTTTGCCATCATTAAAATTAATCACTTTTTAGTTACGCAAAGTTTGCGGTTTTTCTCATTTCTGAAACATATTCAAGAAGCCTAGACATTACAGCTAATAGATTAGAAAAGTAGGAACTAGAAAAATGAAAAAAGCCCAAACCTCTTTCTAAACCGGGATAGCGCACTCGCTGTGCCTCATGTGTCTTTGGATTTACGTCCATTCTTTTTATCACCTTCTAGTTTTGTCTTTTGCTTTCTCCAGCATTATACAGAGGAGCGATGCACGCCCATCTGTACCGCGATAGTGGCTACAGAGTTTTTTTAGGCTTCGACTCCCTATCATTAGTACATTAAAAATGACTTAGAATTAAGTAAGGGGTATGTGATACGCGATTATATACCTTCAGCTTGGCCTTGTTCTTGTTTTTAGGGCGCCTTATTGTGTGCTTGTGTGATACGTGGTGGAAGGCGGGAAGTTTGCACAATGGCGCGCCACTGGTTGTGAGGACGGATGTCGTTCAAGCGTCATTTAAAAACCCTTTCGAGGTTTTTTTTTAAATGACTTGATTTTTACCGCTAATCGGTGTTGCACGGGAGCCGACTTTACGGTAATCTGTCTCATTTTTTGCTTTAATTTGGTAGATTAGCAAATATGCTGGACATCGTGGTTGGTTTCCACAAAAGTTTTCATTACAAAACCTTGAATGTATGATTGGACAATCTGCTTTCTCTGATGTATGTTAATAGTACAATTCTCTGGATTTTATATCCAGAGTACGTACCAATGCGCCCATAATTAAATCCCCTTGGAATCGGATCAGGTACAAGTTGAATTTGCATTTTAAAACTCTTTGCTTATATATCCTGTAAATATTTATAAAATTTATGCGTGTTGACCCATCCAGGTCTAGGGTTTGTTCAAGCAACACTTACTACAGATAGTACTGTAGATATTAAAATATAATCTGCT